GGTCTCTCTCTGGTCTCTCTCTGGTCTCTCTCTGGTCTCTCTCTGGTCTCTCTCTGGTCTCTCTCTGGTCTCTCTCTGGTCCCTCTCTGGTCTCTCTCTGGTCTCTCTCTGGTCTCTCTCTGGTCTCTCTCTAGTCTCTCTCTCTGGTCTCTCTCTGGTCTCTCTCTGGTCCCTCTGGTCTCTCTGGTCTCTCTCTGGTCTCTCTCTGCTCTCTCTCTCTCTCTGGTCTCTCTCTGGTCTCTCTCTGGTCCCTCTCTGGTCTCTCTCTGGTCTCTCTCTGGTCTCTCTCTGGTCTCTCTCTGGTCTCTCTCTGGTCTCTCTCTCTGGTCTCTCTCTCTGGTCTCTCTCTGGTCTCTCTCTCTGGTCTCTCTCTGGTCCTCTCTCTCTCTGGTCTCTCTCTGGTCTCTCTCTCTGGTCTCTCTCTGGTCTCTCTGGTCTCTCTCTGGTCTCTCTCTGGTCTCTCTCTGGTCTCTCTCTCTCTGGTCTCTCTCTGGTCTCTCTCTGGTCTCTCTCTCTGGTCTCTCTCTGGTCTCTCTCTGGTCCCTCTCTGGTCTCTCTCTGGTCTCTCTCTGGTCTCTCTCTGGTCTCTCTGGTCTCTCTCTGGTGAGACTGGGTGAGACAGATGGGTGAGGCTGCAGTCAGGGGGTGCCGGTGGGTGGCCTGAGTAGGTGGTCTCGCTGAGAGAGACTTGAGACAAGAATAGAAAGGTCACTGTCCTGAAGGAATCACAAACTTCTGTTACAGAGACTGGGACTAAAGCTCAGGGTCGTAACTTTAGGACCACAACAACAGAACTGTGTGATAGCATCTCTGTCTATAGTTCCTGGATCTAAACCAGAGAGAGACCAGAGAGAGACCAGAGAGACCAGAGAGAGACCAGGGAGAGACCAGAGAGAGACCAGAGAGAGAGACCAGAGAGAGACCAGAGAGAGACCAGAGAGAGACCGGAGAGAGACCAGAGAGAGACCAGAGAGAGACCAGAGAGAGACTAGAGAGAGACCAGAGAGAGACCAGGGAGAGACCAGAGAGAGACCAGAGAGAGACCAGAGAGAGACCAGAGAGAGACCAGAGAGAGACCAGAGAGAGACCGGAGAGAGACCAGAGAGAGACCAGAGAGAGACCAGAGAGAGAGACCAGAGGGAGAGAGCAGAGAGAGACCAGAGAGAGACCAGAGAGAGACCAGAGAGAGACCAGAGAGACCAGAGAGAGACCAGAGAGAGACCAGAGAGAGACCAGAGAGAGAGACCAGAGGGAGAGAGCAGAGAGAGACCAGAGAGAGACCAGAGAGAGACCAGAGAGACCAGAGAGAGACCAGAGAAAGACCAGAGAGAGACCAGAGAGGGACCAGAGAGAGACCAGAGAGGGACCAGAGAGAGACCAGGGAGAGACCAGAGAGGGACCAGAGAGAGAGACCAGAGAGAAACTAGAGACAGACCAGAGAGAGACCAGAGAGAGACCAGAGAGACCAGAGAGAGACCAGAGATAGACCAGAGAGAGACCAGAGAGAGACCAGAGAGAGACCAGAGAGAGACCAGAGAGACCAGAGAGAGACCAGAGAGAGACCAGAGAGAGAGACCAGAGGGAGAGAGCAGAGAGAGACCAGAGAGAGACCAGAGAGAGACCAGAGAGAGACCAGAGAGACCAGAGAGAGACCAGAGAGAGACCAGGGAGAGACCAGAGAGAGACCAGAGAGAGACCAGAGAGAGACCAGGGAGAGACCAGAGAGAGACCAGAGAGAGACCAGAGAGAGACCAGAGAGAGACCAGAGAGAGACCAGAGAGACCAGAGAGAGACCAGAGAGAGACTAGAGAGAGACCAGAGAGAGACTAGAGAGAGACCAGAGAGAGACCAGAGAGAGACCAGAGACCAGAGAGAGACCAGGGAGAGACCAGAGAGAGACCAGAGAGAGAGACCAGAGAGAGACCAGAGAGAGAGACCAGAGAGAGACCAGAGAGAGAGACTAGAGAGAGACCAGAGAGAGACTAGAGAGAGACCAGAGAGAGACCAGAGAGAGAGACCAGAGAGAGACCAGAGAGAGAGCTGCTATCTCTAGTTTTCCCTGTCATATCTCTAGATTAGTTTAAAGTGAAAGACCCCCCTCTCTCAGCCAATCAGCTCTCAGCCATTCAGCTCTCAGCCAATCAGCCCAAATCAGTCTGACTCAAAAGATAGAAGTTTCCTGATAAGACTTTGGTGTGATTAGTTCAAAACATTTCAGTAAAGACTTTCCTTTTTGCGTTTGGACAAACTGTGGTTATTATCAATAAGAATATAAAGTCAGGTCTCTGAGCTTTAAAGGCACAGAACATGTGAGGTCTCTCTCACTGAAGAGAGAGCCTTTAAACTGAGTCTGAAGAATCCAGATGTCACTGCTGTAAAAGAGGCTGTGACCCGGACCGCCTCCAACACAATGGACATGGAGCCATAAAACCAGGACTAACCCGGTCTAAAGCAGGTCTAAAGCAGGTCTAAAGCAGGACTAAAGTAGGACTAAAGCAGGTCTAAAGCAGGACTAAAGCAGGTCTAAAGCAGGTCTAAAGCAGGACTAAAGCAGGTCTAAAGCAGGACTAAAGTAGGACTAAAGCAGGTCTAAAGCAGGACTAACCCAGGACTAAAGCAGGACTAAAGCAGGTCTAAAGCAGGTCTAAAGCAGGACTAAAGCAGGTCTAAAGCAGGACTAAAGCAGGTCTAAAGCAGGACTAAAGCAGGTCTAAAGCAGGTCTAAAGCAGGACTAAAGCAGGTCTAAAGCAGGACTAAAGCAGGTCTAAAGCAGGACTAAAGTAGGACTAAAGCAGGTCTAAAGCAGGACTAACCCAGGACTAAAGCAGATCTAAAGCAGGTCTAAAGCAGGTCTAAAGCAGGTCTAAAGCAGGACTAAAGCAGGACTAACCCAGGACTAAAGCAGGTCTAAAGCAGGTCTAAAGCAGGACTAACCCAGGACTAAAGCAGGACTAAAGCAGGTCTAAAGCAGGACTAAAGCAGGTCAAACCCAGGACTAAAGCAGGACTAACCCAGGACTAAAGCAGGACTAAAGCAGGTCTAAAGCAGGTCTAAAGCAGGTCTAAAGCAGGTCTAAAGCAGGTCTAAAGCAGGACTAAAGCAGGACTATAGCAGGTCTAAAGCAGGTCTAAAGCAGGTCTAAAGCAGGTCTAAAGCAGGTCTAAAGCAGGTCTAAAGCAGGACTAACCCAGGACTAAAGCAGGTCTAAAGCAGGACTAAAGCAGGACTAAAGCAGGTCTAAAGCAGGTCTAAAGCAGGACTAAAGCAGGTCTAGCCCAGGACTAAAGCAGGTCTAAAGCAGGACTAACCCAGGACTAAAGCAGGTCTAAAGCAGGTCTAAAGCAGGTCTAGCCCAGGACTAAAGCAGGACTAAAGCAGGTCTAACCCAGGACTAAAGCAGGTCTAAAGCAGGTCTAAAGCAGGTCTAGCCCAGGACTAAAGCAGGTCTAAAGCAGGTCTAACCCAGGACTAAACCAGGTCTATAGCAGGTCTAACCCAGGACTAAAGCAGGTCTAAGGCAGGTCTAAGCCAGGACTAAAGCAGGAATAACTACACTCTGATTTAAAGGTCCTCTCTCTTCACTCTCGTCATTAACGTGTTTCTTTTAAAGTGACGTAAATATTTAGAAGTCGTCGCTTTTGGTGTCGCCACAAACTAATGAGGACCTCCAACAGAGAGACCACCTCACACACACCAGCTGACGTATCTGTCTCTGGTCTCTCTCTGGTCTCTCTGGTCTCTCTCTGGTCTCTCTCTGGTCTCTCTCTGGTCCCTCTCTCTGGTCCCTCTCTCTGGTCTCTCTCTGGTCCCTCTCTGGTCTCTCTCTGGTCTCTCTCTGGTCTCTCTCTCTGGTCCCTCTCTCTGGTCTCTCTCTGGTCCCTCTCTGGTCTCTCTCTGGTCTCTCTCTGGTCTCTCTCTGGTCTCTCTCTGGTCCCTCTCTGGTCCCTCTCTGGTCTCTCTCTGGTCTCTCTCTGGTCCCTCTCTGGTCTCTCTCTGGTCTCTCTCTGGTCTCTCTCTGGTCCCTCTCTGGTCTCTCTCTGGTCTCTCTCTGGTCTCTCTCTCTGGTCCCTCTCTCTGGTCTCTCTCTGGTCCCTCTCTGGTCTCTCTCTGGTCTCTCTCTGGTCTCTCTCTGGTCTCTCTCTGGTCTCTCTCTGGTCTCTCTCTGGTCCCTCTCTCTGGTCCCTCTCTGGTCTCTCTCTGGTCCCTCTCTGGTCTCTCTCTGGTCTCTCTCTGGTCCCTCTCTCTGGTCTCTCTCTGGTCCCTCTCTGGTCTCTCTCTGGTCTCTCTCTGGTCCCTATCTGGTCCCTCTCTCTGGTCTCTCTCTGGTCTCTCTCTGGTCTCTCTCTGGTCTCTCTCTGGTCTCTCTCTGGTCTCTCTCTGGTCCCTCTCTGGTCTCTCTCTGGTCTCTCTCTGGTCTCTCTCTGGTTCAGGCCTGGTTCAGACCCAGACCCTTTCTCCCCTCTGATCACTTCACTCCAGCTTGTTGGGAGTCCTGAGGTCCTGCGCTGTGATTGGCTGCTGTGGTTTGTGGGCGGGACAAACACATCTGTCTTTGTCATTAGTTTTGCCACATTCTCCTCCAGATCTCACTCAATATGAGTTCAGTCCTGGTCTGGTCTCAGTTAGGTCCTAGTCTGGTCTCACCTCAGTCCTGGTCTGGTCTCACCTGAGTCCTGGTCTCAGTTTAGTCTTGGTCTGTACGCCCCTGTCCTCTCGTGCACGCCTCTGTCCTCTCGTGCACGCCCCTGTCTTCTCATGTGGTCTCACCTCAGTCCTGTTCTGGTCTCAGTTCGGTCCTGGTCTGGTCTCAGTTCAGAGTTTGGTTCTGGTCTTTCGTCCTGGTTTAGTCTCTCTCAAAGCAGTGTTTTTCAGCTGATGGCACAGACTGGTTGCCTCGCTTCCGTCAGTGTGCCCCGGGGCAGCTGTGGCTACAGAAGCAGCCGTCTAAGAACCAACTCTACAATAATGTCTCTACTCTCGTGCACGCTCCTATAGTCTCATGCACACCTTTGTCCCCACGTGCACGCCCCTGTCCTCTCATGCAAGCCCTTGTCCTCTCGTGCACGCCCCTGTCCTCTCGTGCACGCCCCTGTCTCCTCGTGCACGCCCCTGTCCCCTCGTGCACGCCCCTGTCCCCTCGTGCACGCCCCTGTCCCCTTGTGTACGCCCTTGTCGTCTCGTGCACGCCCCTGTCCCCTCGTGCACGCCCCTGTCCCCTTGTGTACGCCCTTGTCGTCTCGTGCACGCCCCTGTCCCCTCGTGTACGCCCCTGTCGTCTCGTGCACGCCCCTGTCGTCTCGTGCACGCCCCTGTCCCCTCGTGCACGCCCCTGTCCCCTCGTGCACGCCCCTGTCCCCTCGTGTACGCCCCTGTCCCCTCGTGCACGCCCCTGTCCCCTCGTGTACGCCCCTGTCGTCTCGTGCACGCCCCTGTCCCCTCGTGCACGCCCCTGTCCCCTCGTGTACGCCCCTGTCCCCCGTGCCGCCCCTGTCCCCTCGTGTACGCCCCTGTCCCCTCGTGCACGCCCCTGTCCCCTCGTGCACGCCCCTGTCCCCTCGTGTACGCCCTTGTCGTCTCGTGCACGCCCCTGTCCTCTCCTGCACGCCCCTGTCCCCTCGTGCACGCCCCTGTCCTCTCGTGCACGCCCCTGTCCTCTTGTGCACGCCCCTGTCCCCTCGTGTACGCCCCTGTCGTCTCGTGCACGCCCCTGTCCCCTCGTGCACGCCCCTGTCCCCTCGTGCACGCCCCTGTCCCCTCGTGTACGCCCTTGTCGTCTCGTGCACGCCCCTGTCCTCTCCTGCACGCCCCTGTCCCCTCGTGCACGCCCCTGTCCTCTCGTGCACGCCCCTGTCCTCTTGTGCACGCCCCTGTCCCCTCGTGTACGCCCTTGTCGTCTCGTGCACGCCCCTGTCCTCTCGTGCACGCCCTTGTCGTCTCGTGCACGCCCCTGTCCCCTCGTGCACGCCCCTGTCCCCTCGTGCACGCCCCTGTCCCCTTGTGTACACCCTTGTCGTCTCGTGCACGCCCCTGTCCTCTCCTGCACGCCCCTGTCCCCTCGTGCACGCCCCTGTCCTCTCGTGCACGCCCCTGTCCTCTTGTGCACGCCCCTGTCCCCTCGTGTACGCCCCTGTCGTCTCGTGCACGCCCCTGTCCCCTCGTGCACGCCCCTGTCCCCTCGTGCACGCCCCTGTCCCCTCGTGTACGCCCTTGTCGTCTCGTGCACGCCCCTGTCCTCTCCTGCACGCCCCTGTCCCCTCGTGCACGCCCCTGTCCTCTCGTGCACGCCCCTGTCCTCTTGTGCACGCCCCTGTCCCCTCGTGTACGCCCTTGTCGTCTCGTGCACGCCCCTGTCCTCTCGTGCACGCCCTTGTCGTCTCGTGCACGCCCCTGTCCCCTCGTGCACGCCCCTGTCCCCTTGTGTACGCCCTTGTCGTCTCGTGCACGCCCCTGTCCTCTCCTGCACGCCCCTGTCCCCTCGTGCACGCCCCTGTCCCCTCGTGCACGCCCCTGAACTCCTCCGCAGCTGTTTCCTGTCTGCAGTCACCACTAACACAAACCATTTACAAACATTTACCATGTGTGTGTGTCAGCTGGTATACGCCTGCTGTGCCTTTAGGCAACACACCTCTCTGCAGCATCTACCCCGAGACTGATGTGTTGGCTAGAGCAGATTAAAGCTGGGGTCTATGACTTTTATCCTAAATACAGTCACTGAGCTGGAGTTCACGTTTTAAACTTCACCATGAGCACTTCCCTATGGAGCTTCATATAACTAGCGGGTTAGCATTGTCCATTAGCGTACAGTCTACAGTCTGATGTTAGCATTGTCCATTAGCGTACAGTCTACAGTCTGATGTTAGCATTGTCCATTAGCGTACAGTCTACAGTCTGATGTTAGCATTGTCCATTAGTGTACAGTCTACAGTCTGATGTTAGCCTGGATGGAGCTAAACACAACTGCAGCTCATCAAGTTCATCAAGTGTTTTTTTGGACATTTAGAAGACAAAAGAAATAATAATGTGAAAAGAGACGAAGCTGAAACAGATTTGGGCCAAATACATAACACTTACACACACACACCTTTATACTGCATACACATACACATACATACACGTACATATACATACATACACGTACATATACATACATACACGTACATATACATACATACACGTACATACACATACATACACGTACATATACATACATACACGTACATATACATACATATACATACATATACATACATACACATACATATACATACATATACATACATATACATACATACACGTACGTACATATACATACATATACGTACATATACATACATATACATACATACACGTACATATACATACATATACGTACATATACATACATACACATACATATACATACATATACGTACATATACATACATATACGTACATATACATACATATACATACATATACGTACATATACATACATATACGTACATACATATACATATACATACATATACATACATAGACATACATACACATACATATACATACATACACATACATATACATACATATACATACATACACATACATATACATACATATACATACATACACATACATACACATACATATACATACATATACGTACATATACATACATATACGTACATATACATACATATACATACATATACGTACATATACATACATATACGTACATACATATACATATACATACATATACATACATACACATACATATACATACATATACATACATACACATACATATACATACATATACATACATACACATACATACACATACATATACATACATACACATACATATACATACATACACATACATATACATACATATACATACATACACATACATATACATACATATACATACATATACATACATATACATACATATACATACATATACATACATATACATACATATACATACATATACATACATACACATACATATACATACATACACATACATACACATACATACACATACATATACATACATACACGTACATATACATACATATACGTACATATACATACATATACATACATACACATACATATACATACATACACATACATACATATACTTACATACATATACATACATATACATACATACACATACATACATATACTTACATACATATACATATACATACATACACATACATACATATACTTACATACACATACATATACGTACATATACGTACATACACATACATTTACATATATATTTAAGGCCTCAGTGACCATTCCAAAGCTGGACCCCCCTCACAGATACTCAGTGAGCCTCTGAGATGTACGTTCTCTCGCTGGATTGAACCGGTCTAGGATACGCTGAGGCAGCAGGTGATTATGGGCCTTGTACTTTACAATTGCAGTGTTTAGTGTTTTAGATTTAATAAACAAGGAGTTAGTGTGTGCATAATAATCAGCATAAAGTACGACTCTGACGGCTTTCTTCTGGAGAGTGGAAGTTCAGTTGGTGTTTATAATTATTACCCCATATTTCAGTACAGTAACTGAGATATGACAGTATGAAGGAATTATAAAACATATTAAGTGCATCATGATTTACAGAGTTTTGTATTTTGTAAAACAAACTTATACTTATTGAGAGTTTTGTCTTTAGTATGTTTATGTGCAGCTTCCAATTTAATTCATGATCTATGTTGAATTTAGTAGAATCCACCCTTTCAAAGTCCACATCAGATATCTGTATGTGGCGTGTCAATATTTCTGTTTCCAAAGATTATGTATTTAGTTTTATTCAAATGTATGGATCATTTGTTTGTATCAAACCACTGTTTAAGAATAACAAGTTCATTCTCGACTGTTGGGATGAGTTTGTTGAGGTCTGGCCCAGAGCAGTACAGGCTCGTGTCATCAGCAGTTTACATTTTAACTTTTTAAACACTTCACACACATCATTAATATACATTAGAAATAGCTCAGGTCCCAATACAGAGCCTTGAGGGACTCCGTGTGTTAAGATCCTTTTGTCTGAGTCGTTTATTTGAACATACTCTGCCACCAAGATAACTCTTTATCCAATCACAGGCAACACCTCTGACACATACTTCTGATGCCCTTTAATATTTGCCACATGCCCCGATACTCTGCTGCTGAGTCAGTTACATGCCCTGATACTCTGCTGCTGAGTCAGTTACATGCCCTGATACTCTGCTGCTGAGTCAGTTACATGCCCTGATACTCTGCTGCTGAGTCAGTTACATGCCCTGATACTCTGCTGCTGAGTCAGTTACATGCCCTGATACTCTGCTGCTGAGTCAGTTACATGCCCTGATACTCTGCTGCTGAGTCAGTTACATGCCCTGATACTCTGCTGCTGAGTCAGTTACATGCCCCGATACTCTGCTGCTGAGTCAGTTACATGCCCTGATACTCTGCTGCTGAGTCAGTTACATGCCCTGATACTCTGCTGCTGAGTCAGTTACATGCCCTGATACTCTGCTGCTGAGTCAGTTACATGCCCCGATACTCTGCTGCTGAGTCAGTTACATGCCCTGATACTCTGCTGCTGAGTCAGTTACATGCCCTGATACTCTGCTGCTGAGTCAGTTACATGCCCCGATACTCTGCTGCTGAGTCAGTTACATGCCCTGATACTCTGCTGCTGAGTCAGTTACATGCCCCGATACTCTGCTGCTGAGTCAGTTACATGCCCCGATACTCTGCTGCTGAGTCAGTTACATGCCCTGATACTCTGCTGCTGAGTCAGTTACATGCCCTGATACTCTGCTGCTGAGTCAGTTACATGCCCCGATACTCTGCTGCTGAGTCAGTTACATGCCCTGATACTCTGCTGCTGAGTCAGTTACATGCCCTGATACTCTGCTGCTGAGTCAGTTACATGCCCTGATACTCTGCTGCTGAGTCAGTTACATGCCCTGATACTCTGCTGCTGAGTCAGTTACATGCCCTGATACTCTGCTGCTGAGTCAGTTACATGCCCCGATACTCTGCTGCTGAGTCAGTTACATGCCCTGATACTCTGCTGCTGAGTCAGTTACATGCCCTGATACTCTGCTGCTGAGTCAGTTACATGCCCTGATACTCTGCTGCTGAGTCAGTTACATGCCCTGATACTCTGCTGCTGAGTCAGTTACATGCCCTGATACTCTGCTGCTGAGTCAGTTACATGCCCTGATACTCTGCTGCTGAGTCAGTTACATGCCCTGATACTCTGCTGCTGAGTCAGTTACATGCCCTGATACTCTGCTGCTGAGTCAGTTACATGCCCTGATACTCTGCTGCTGAGTCAGTTACATGCCCTGATACTCTGCTGCTGAGTCAGTTACATGCCCTGATACTCTGCTGCTGAGTCAGTTACATGCCCTGATACTCTGCTGCTGGTCAGTTACAGTTACTCTGCGCTGAGTCAGTTACATGCCCCGATACTCTGCTGCTGAGTCAGTTACATGCCCTGATACTCTGCTGCTGAGTCAGTTACATGCCCTGATACTCTGCTGCTGAGTCAGTTACATGCCCTGATACTCTGCTGCTGAGTCAGTTACATGCCCTGATACTCTGCTGCTGAGTCAGTTACATGCCCTGATACTCTGCTGCTGAGTCAGTTACATGCCCTGATACTCTGCTGCTGAGTCAGTTACATGCCCTGATACTCTGCTGCTGAGTCAGTTACATGCCCTGATACTCTGCTGCTGAGTCAGTTACATGACCCCTGATACTCTGCTGCTGAGTCAGTTACATGCCCTGATACTCTGCTGCTGAGTCAGTTACATGCCCTGATATTCTGCTGCTGAGTCAGTTACATGCCCTGATACTCTGCTGCTGAGTCAGTTACATGCCCTGATACTCTGCTGCTGAGTCAGTTACATGCCCCGATACTCTGCTGCTGAGTCAGTTACATGCCCCAATACTCTGCTGCTGAGTCAGTTACATGCCCTGATACTCTGCTGCTGAGTCAGTTACATGCCCTGATACTCTGCTGCTGAGTCAGTTACATGCCCTGATACTCTGCTGCTGAGTCAGTTACATGCCCCGATACTCTGCTGCTGAGTCAGTTACATGCCCTGATACTCTGCTGCTGAGTCAGTTACATGCCCTGATACTCTGCTGCTGAGTCAGTTACATGCCCTGATACTCTGCTGCTGAGTCAGTTACATGCCCTGATACTCTGCTGCTGAGTCAGTTACATGCCCTGATACTCTGCTGCTGAGTCAGTTACATGCCCTGATACTCTGCTGCTGAGTCAGTTACATGCCCCGATACTCTGCTGCTGAGTCAGTTACATGCCCTGATACTCTGCTGCTGAGTCAGTTACATGCCCTGATACTCTGCTGCTGAGTCAGTTACATGCCCTGATACTCTGCTGCTGAGTCAGTTACATGCCCTGATACTCTGCTGCTGAGTCAGTTACATGCCCCGATACTCTGCTGCTGAGTCAGTTACATGCCCCGATACTCTGCTGCTGAGTCAGTTACATGCCCCGATACTCTGCTGCTGAGTCAGTTACATGCCCTGATACTCTGCTGCTGAGTCAGTTACATGCCCTGATACTCTGCTGCTGAGTCAGTTACATGCCCTGATACTCTGCAGCTGAGTCAGTTACATGCCCTGATACTCTGCTGCTGAGTCAGTTACATGCCCTGATACTCTGCTGCTGAGTCAGTTACATGCCCTGATACTCTGCTGCTGAGTCAGTTACATGCCCCGATACTCTGCTGCTGAGTCAGTTACATGCCCTGATACTCTGCTGCTGAGTCAGTTACATGCCCTGATACTCTGCTGCTGAGTCAGTTACATGCCCTGATACTCTGCTGCTGAGTCAGTTACATGCCCCGATACTCTGCTGCTGAGTCAGTTACATGCCCTGATACTCTGCTGCTGAGTCAGTTACATGCCCCGATACTCTGCTGCTGAGTCAGTTACATGCCCTGATACTCTGCTGCTGAGTCAGTTACATGCCCTGATACTCTGCTGCTGAGTCAGTTACATGCCCTGATACTCTGCTGCTGAGTCAGTTACATGCCCCGATACTCTGCTGCTGAGTCAGTTACATGCCCTGATACTCTGCTGCTGAGTCAGTTACATGCCCTGATACTCTGCTGCTGAGTCAGTTACATGCCCTGATACTCTGCTGCTGAGTCAGTTACATGCCCCGATACTCTGCTGCTGAGTCAGTTACATGCCCTGATACTCTGCTGCTGAGTCAGTTACATGCCCTGATACTCTGCTGCTGAGTCAGTTACATGCCCTGATACTCTGCTGCTGAGTCAGTTACATGCCCTGATACTCTGCTGCTGAGTCAGTTACATGCCCCGATACTCTGCTGCTGAGTCAGTTACATGCCCTGATACTCTGCTGCTGAGTCAGTTACATGCCCTGATACTCTGCTGCTGAGTCAGTTACATGCCCTGATACTCTGCTGCTGAGTCAGTTACATGCCCTGATACTCTGCTGCTGAGTCAGTTACATGCCCTGATACTCTGCTGCTGAGTCAGTTACATGCCCTGATACTCTGCTGCTGAGTCAGTTACATGCCCTGATACTCTGCTGCTGAGTCAGTTACATGCCCTGATACTCTGCTGCTGAGTCAGTTACATGCCCCGATACTCTGCTGCTGAGTCAGTTACATGCCCCAATACTCTGCTGCTGAGTCAGTTACATGCCCTGATACTCTGCTGCTGAGTCAGTTACATGCCCCGATACTCTGCTGCTGAGTCAGTTACATAGCCTGATACTCTGCTGCTGAGTCAGTTACATGCCCTGATACTCTGCTGCTGAGTCAGTTACATGCCCTGATACTCTGCTGCTGAGTCAGTTACATGCCCCGATACTCTGCTGCTGAGTCAGTTACATGCCCTGATACTCTGCTGCTGAGTCAGTTACATGCCCTGATACTCTGCTGCTGAGTCAGTTACATGCCCCGATACTCTGCTGCTGAGTCAGTTACATGCCCCGATACTCTGCTGCTGAGTCAGTTACATGCCCCAATACTCTGCTGCTGAGTCAGTTACATGCCCTGATACTCTGCTGCTGAGTCAGTTACATGCCCTGATACTCTGCTGCTGAGTCAGTTACATGCCCCAATACTCTGCTGCTGAGTCAGTTACATGCCCTGATACTCTGCTGCTGAGTCAGTTACATGCCCTGATACTCTGCTGCTGAGTCAGTTACATGCCCTGATACTCTGCTGCTGAGTCAGTTACATGCCCCGATACTCTGCTGCTGAGTCAGTTACATGCCCTGATACTCTGCTGCTGAGTCAGTTACATGCCCTGATACTCTGCTGCTGAGTCAGTTACATGCCCTGATACTCTGCTGCTGAGTCAGTTACATGCCCTGATACTCTGCTGCTGAGTCAGTTACATGCCCTGATACTCTGCTGCTGAGTCAGTTACATGCCCTGATACTCTGCTGCTGAGTCAGTTACATGCCCTGATACTCTGCTGCTGAGTCAGTTACATGCCCTGATACTCTGCTGCTGAGTCAGTTACATGCCCCGATACTCTGCTGCTGAGTCAGTTACATGCCCCAATACTCTGCTGCTGAGTCAGTTACATGCCCTGATACTCTGCTGCTGAGTCAGTTACATGCCCCGATACTCTGCTGCTGAGTCAGTTACATGCCCTGATACTCTGCTGCTGAGTCAGTTACATGCCCCGATACTCTGCAGCTGAGTCAGTTACATGCCCTGATACTCTGCTGCTGAGTCAGTTACATGCCCTGATACTCTGCTGCTGAGTCAGTTACATGCCCTGATACTCTGCTGCTGATTTATTTGACATGATTTTAGTATTTCTTTTATGATCCATGGTTTCACTTGTCGACTCTAATGGAATTATTCATATGTTTGATTCTAATTGGACAGTGTTTATCATAGAGTGTCAGAAAGATGTTGAAGATCACAGGCTTCATGTGGATCAGTAGAAGGGTGCTCCTCATGGGGATCAGTAGAAGGGTGCTCCTCATGTGGATCAGTAGAAGGGTGCTCCTCATGTGGATCAGTAGAAGGGTGCTCCTCATGTGGATCAGTAGAAGGGTGCTCCTCATGTGGATCAGTAGAAGGGTGCTCCTCATGTGGATCAGTAGAAGGGTGCTCCTCATGTGGATCAGTAGAAGGGTGCTCCTCATGTGGATCAGTAGAAGGGTGCTCCTCATGTGGATCAGTAGAAGGGTGCTCCTCATGTGGATCAGTAGAAGGGTGCTCCTCATGGGGATCAGTAGAAGGGTGCTCCTCATGGGGATCAGTAGAAGGGTGCTCCTCATGTGGATCAGCAGAAGGGTGCTCCTCATGGGGATCAGTAGAAGGGTGCTCCTCACTCCAGTCCCGTAAACACAGGTCAGTTTTGAAAGCTGCCAAAGTCTCTGTTCTCAAAGTCTACAAAACCTTTAATGGTCAGTTTGTGTTTTTCTTTCTTGTCAGAGAGTTTGTGAAAAATAACAGGTAAATGTCTCTTATATCATTAAGGAGTGGTCCTGCTGTAATCTGGGTCTGCATTTGTGAACATGTTGTCTGTTAGCGTGGTTGTTCTGGTTGTTCTGTAACGAGTCGTCTGAGGGGTTTAGAAGATTGATATTAAAATCACCACACACAATTTGGAGCTTTTTTTCCTTACAAAATAGATTATCTAGACTTTGATTGAATGTGTCTAAACATGACCCAGGCGTTCGATACAAGCAGCTGACATTTACCTTCCGGGATTTTTTAACCTCGATTTCAACCGCGTTCCAAGACTCTGTCTACGGTGGGAGATCAATAACACTGGGTAACAAAAACATATGTGTTGTAAATAGTCCAGGGTTTTCAGCTGAATCAGACTAATGTTGATGCTCTGAGTCTGACCTTGGTTTTGTTCAATCAGGTCAGGATTTTTTGCTACAGAAATATTTTTTTAAATCGATTTTGCGTAAATAAAACACAGCAGGTCTAAAGCAGGTCTAACCCAGGACTAAAGCAGGACTAAAGCAGGACTAAAGCAGGTCTAAAGCAGGACTAAAGCAGGTCTAAAGCAGGTCTAAAGCAGGACTAAAGCAGGTCTAAAGCAGGACTAAAGCAGGTCTAAAGCAGGACTAAAGCAGGTCTAAAGCAGGTCTAAAGCAGGTCTAAAGCAGGTCTAAAGCAGGACTAAAGCAGGTCTAAAGCAGGAGTAAAGCAGGACTAAAGCAGGACTAAAGCAGGTCTAAAGCAGGAGTAAAGCAGGACTAAAGCAGGTCTAAAGCAGGTCTAAAGCAGGTCTAAAGCAGGACTAAAGCAGGACTAAAGCAGGTCTAAAGCAGGACTAAAGCAGGTCTAAAGCAGGTCTAAAGCAGGTCTAAAGCAGGTCTAAAGCAGGACTAAAGCAGGTCTAAAGCAGGAGTAAAGCAGGACTAAAGCAGGACTAAAGCAGGTCTAAAGCAGGACTAAAGCAGGTCTAAAGCAGGAGTAAAGCAGGACTAAAGCAGGTCTAAAGCAGGTCTAAAGCAGGACTAAAGCAGGTCTAAAGCAGGTCTAAAGCAGGTCTAACCCAGGACCAAAGCAGGTCCAAAGCAGGTCTAAAGCAGGTCTAACCAAGGACCAAAGCAGGTCTAAAGCAGGTCTAAAGCAGGACTAAAGCAGGTCTAAAGCAGGTCTAAAGCAGGTCTAACCCAGGACCAAAGCAGGTCCAAAGCAAGTCTAAAGCAGGACTAACCCAGGACCAAAGCAGGTCTAAAGCAGGTCTAACCCAGGACCAAAGCAGGTCTAAAGCAGGTCTAACCCAGGACCAAAGCAGGTCTAAAGCAGGTCTAACCCAGGACCAAAGCAGGTCTAAAGCAGGTCTAACCCAGGACCAAAGCAGGACTAAAGCAGGTCTAAAGCAGGTCTAAAGCAGGTCTAACCCAGGACTAAAGCAGGTCTAAAGCAGGTCTAAAGCAGGACTAGGGTCTCACCGTGCACGTGTCCTGGACCACAGTGTATCTGAAGCGGCTGTTGCCCTCGGCCTTCAGCTCCAGGTCGTTGGAGGCCTTCAGGACCAGGGCTTTCTTCATGGTACCACTGCGTTCGTCCCTGTAGGCCACAGAGTTCTTACAATGGTACGTGAGGCTCTGAGAGGCCTCTCTGGACAGGAGTCTGATGAAGGTCATCTGCACCGTCACCGCGTTCACCGACTGCTGCTGGTTTCCATACGAGAACTGGACACAAGAGAGAAAGTTAGACTGGTTTAGACTCTCCGGTCTCTCTCTCTCTGGTCTCTCTCTCTGGTCTCTCTCTGGTCTCTCTCTGGTCTCTCTCTGGTCTCTCTCTGGTCTCTCTCTGATCTCTCTCTGGTCTCTCTCTGGTCTCTCTCTGGTCTCTCTCTGGTCTCTCTCTGGTCTCTCTCTGGTCTCTCTCTGGCCTCTCTCTGGTCTCTCTCTGGTCTCTCTCTGGTCTCTCTGTGACCTCTCTCTGGTCTCTCTCTGGTCTCTCTCTGGTCTCTCTCTCTGGTCTCTCTCTCTGGTCTCTCTCTCTGGTCTCTCTCTGGTCTCTCTGTGGTCTCTCTCTCTGGTCTCTCTCTCAGATTCAGATTCAGATTCATTTATTTGCCATTTGCAGTAAAACCACATTGGAAAAACTGTGCAAGACTACCCCGGTGTGCGCCAGACAGAGAAGGCGACACACACCAGAGCTCTTGCCACGGCGCCATCTTTCCGGCGCCATGCGACAAACAGTAGAATAAACAGCAGAGAGCAATAACATTCAGGTTACAACAGACAGTTAGATAGAAAACATTGTGCTTTGTATAAACCACGGATCTTTTTTCGGGATGAGCACCTCCGGCTGCCGGTCCAATGTGGCTGTCAGAGGGGGGCGGGGTCAGGGAGGGGGTGAGTCGGAAACACAGTGAGGAGTGGAGGGGAGGGAGAGATCAGAGGGAGGCGGGGGAGCGGGATCCAAGCTGGAAGACTGAAAGAGTGTGAATTGTTGTAGAGACCAGATTTATTATTATGGCCTTGGCCCGAGGAATGTGAGATAAGAGTGGGGAGAAGACACAGCAAGGAGAAAAACACATCTTCCTGTAACGAGGGACAATATAGTATGCATTTTAGCAGTCAAAAACAGGCAGATATTCTATTAAATCCAATTAAACCGAATTACGGCGCCCTCAGACCCCGTACACAGGGGCCAATCCAAGCCGGGTCAGAGAGTTCAAGCGTGACACACAATGTCATTCAATCTCAGCTCCAGAGTTTTGTTCCCATCGAGTGAACGAGCTGCGAGATCTTTGATCAACTGTTCCACTAACACCACTCTCCTTTGTCCAGACACGGCACTCTCAACCACGACTCGGCTAAGCTCCTTGTACATCCCATCAATTTTGTCGGCCAGCAGGTTGTGAATCTTGCGAACTGCCATGCCTCCGAATTTATGGTAGAATAGAACCGCTCCAAAACCAAACAGGAGGATTCCCACCACCAAAATGCCAAAGATATATACGTCTTCCGAATCTTCAATGGACAGGGTCGACAGACAGAGGGGCTGCCACTTGTTCCAGCTGTCAAGCGTATAGCCCGCTGGTGAAGTCCCGTCCGGGCACACGGGCTCTCCAGACCCACGCTTACGTGTTGAAAAGATAGAATCAATTGCGTTGAGGGACCAGTTAATCATTTCCATTCTTGTTAAAGTTGTCTGTGGCAAAACTCCAGGAAAAAGACAAAAACAGGAGATAGCAAGCAGTCAGAAGCAGGAGCGTCTGAGACACGTCTTTGCTCGACGGTCTCTCTCTCTGGTCTCCTTCTGGTCTCTACCTCCTGGTTCTAAAACAGTTTGCTTCTATCTCTAGTTTTCACATTCATTTGTTTCAGTCAATCAGCTCTCATCTCTCTGTGTGTCCTGTACCTGTGCTCTGTTTGTACCTGTGCTCCCCGGTTGATGTCGGCCCCCCACCACACTGGCTTCCCTGTGCTGTGTGTGTACCGGTGTAAGTGTACCTGTGCTCCCCGGTTGATGTCGGCCCCCCACCACACTGGCTTCCCTGTGTTGTGTGTGTACCGGTGTAAGTGTACCTGTGCTCCCCGGTTGATGTCGGCCCCCCACCACACTGGCTTCCCGGTGCTGCGGGTCCACCAGACTTTCTTGGGGATGGTCTCGGGGTCTGCAGAGATGCAGGTCTCTCCGGTCTCCAGGTTACAGTGGACTTTAATGGCATCCTCCGCACTGCCCTGGTTTGGATCCACCCAGTACTCTCCTGCAGAGACCAGAGTGAGACCGGAGGGAGACCAGAGGGAGACCAGAGGGAGACCAGAGGGAGACCAGAGTGAGACCAGAGAGAGACCAGAGTGAGACCAGAGTGAGACCGGAGGGAGACCAGAGGGAGACCAGAGGGAGACCAGAGGGAGACCAGAGAGAGACCAGAGAGAGACCAGAGAGAGACCAGAGAGAGAGACCAGAGAGAGACCGGAGGGAGACCAGAGAGAGACCAGAGAGAGACCAGAGAGAGACCAGAGAGAGAGACCAGAGAGAGACCGGAGGGAGACCAGACGGAGACCAGAGAGAGACCAGAGTGAGACCAGAGAGAGACCAGAGAGAGAGACCAAGGAGAGACCAGAGTGAGACTAGAGGGAGACCAGAGGGAGACCAGAGAGATACCGGAGAGAGACCGGAGAGAGACCAGAGAGAGACCAGAGTGAGACCAGAGTGAGACCGGAGGGAGACCAGAGGGAGACCAGAGAGAGACCAGAGTGAGACCAGAGAGAGACCAGAGAGAGACCAGAGAGAGAGACCAAGGAGAGACCAGAGTGAGACTAGAGGGAGACCAGAGGGAAACCAGAGAGATACCGGAGAGATACCGGAGAGAGACCAGAGAGAGACCAGAGTGAGACCAGAGTGAGACCGGAGGGAGACCAGAGGGAGACCAGAGAGAGACCAGAGTGAGACCAGAGAGAGACCAGAGAGAGACCAGAGAGAGAGACCAAGGAGAGACCAGAGTGAGACTAGAGGGAGACCAGAGGGAGACCAGAGAGATACCGGAGAGAGACCAGAGAGAGTGTAGTGTGTGTCTCATGTGTGTGTGTCTGTAGTGTGTCTCTGTAGTGTGTGTCTGTAGTGTGTCTCATGTGTGTGTGTCTGTAGTGTGTGTCTCATGTGTGTGTGTCTGTAGTGTGTGTCTGATGTGTGTGTCTCACCGCTCTTCTTGTCGGGGTAGCACTGCTTCAGGTCCCCGCAGGTCCTGGCCGGGTGCTTCCTGGTCCCGTCAGGACTCTTCATGGTGTCCAGCTGTGTGCTGAGGGCCTTGAGTGTGGCCTGGACCCCAGGGTCCACAGACAGGATGGTGCTGTGGTTACTGCTGGGGAGGGCCTCGTCCTCACTGAACTCTGGGGGAGGGGGTGGCCCCGACTCGTAGTCATGAGAACCAGCAAACAGGTCGTCCATGGCAGCCATGGGAGGTCCGGGAGGACCAGGAGGTCCGGCTGGTCCTGGTTCTCCTGGGGGGCCCTAAACACAGACAAGAGACTATGTATGAGAGACCTTAGAGATACCAGAGAGAGACCAGAGAGAGACCAGAGAGAGAGACCAGAGAGAGACCAGAGAGAGAGACCAGAGAGAGACAAGAGAGAGACAAGAGAGAGACCAGAGAGAGAGACCAGAGAGAGACCAGAGAGAGACCAGAGAGACCAAGAGAGACCAGAGAGAGAGACCAGAGAGAGACTAGAGAGAGAGACCAGAGAGAGACCAGGAGAGAGACCAGAGAGAGACCAGAGAGAGAGACCAGGGAGAGACCAGAGAGAGATACCAGAGAGAGACCAGGGAGAGCCCAGACTCACGCACACACACACACACACTCCCGCACACACACACACACACACACACACACACATTGTATGATGGTTGTATGATGGTTGTATGATGGTTGTACGATGGTTGTATGATGACTGTATGATGACTGTATGATGGTTGTATGATGGTTGTACGATGGTTGTACGATGGTTGTACGATGGTTGTACGATGGTTGTACGATGGTTGTACGATGGTTGTAAGATGGTTGTACGATGGTTGTACGATGGTTGTACGATGGTTGTACGATGGTTGTATGATGCTTGTACGATGGTTGTACGATGGTTGTATGACGGTTGTATGATGACTGTATGATGGTTGTATGATGGTTGTATGATGGTTGTATGATGGTTGTATGATGGTTGTACGATGGTTGTACGATGGCTGTACAATGACTGTACGATGGTTGTATGATGGTTGTATGATGACTGTACGATGGTTGTACGATGGTTGTACAATGACTGTACGATGGTTGTATGATGGTTGTATGATGGTTGTATGATGGTTGTATGATGGTTGTACGATGGTTGTACGATGGTTGTATGATGACTGTACGATGGTTGTACGATGGTTGTATGATGGTTTTATGATGACTGTATGATGGTTGTATGATGGTTGTATGATGGTTGTATGATGGTTGTATGATGGTTGTATGATGGTTGTACGATGGTTGTACGATGGTTGTACAATGACTGTACGATGGTTGTATGATGGTTGTATGATGGTTGTATGATGGTTGTATGATGGTTGTACGATGGTTGTACGATGGTTGTACAATCTGTACGATGGTTGTATGATGGTTGTATGATGGTTGTACGATGGTTGTACGATGGTTGTATGATGGTTGTACGATGGTTTTCCTAAACGTGTCCTTAGCACAGTTCATTTCTAGAATGATATATATTTATATGTATTTTTCATTTTTTGAAGGGCGTTCTTGCATAAATAGAGCCATTACTCGGCTCTGATTGACATTTGTTTTGTGTATATTGGGCTATTGTTACAAACAGCTAAAAACAGTTCTTATGAAATACATGTTCATTTGTAACGGCTCATTGCTATACGATTGTTTACGATTGCAAAAGGCATTCTTATGTTTGATTTTGTTCCATAAATATCTAAATTATATCCTTTATCTGATAGTCTGAAAAAGTTGCATGGACTGCAGTTTGTTTAACTGAAAGTAGCTTTTGACAGGATGTTGTAGCTTAGCGTGCTACATATTTATGGGTGTAGCTTCTGTGAAGCTGAATTTATTGTAGAGTAGCTTGTAGCTTAGCTCACTACACAAATCAAGTAGCTGGCCCATCACTGGTGGTTCCATGTTGATGGTTGCATGTTGATGGTTGCATGTTGATGGACCCATGTTGATGGTTCCATGTTGATGGTTGCATGTTGATGGACCCATGTTGATGGTTCCATGTTGATGGTTGCATGTTGATGGTTGCATGTTGATGGTTCCATGTTGATGGTTGCATGTTGATGGTTCCATGTTGTTATATGTGTGTTTTAAGAGTAAAGTGTGGTTTAAGCACTGGTTCAGTGTTCCTGTTTACACACTATGCAGCAGGGTTGCCAGGTTTGGTGGTTTCCCGCATACTTTATTCCAAGAGACTCGTAGGTAATAAATAAACAGAAAGACAATAAACAGAATTATTATCGTCTAAGTTGATTATATTACGTTTTTAGCCAAAAAATAATTCTGGATATTTTTTTTTTTTTGGGCATTCTCGCTGGTTTTGGGCTGGAAAATCTTGCCGGCATTTGGCAACCCATGGGAGTCGTGTGCTTCGATGTGAGTGGTTGAAGGAACACGTCATTGAAGAAAACAGACAAGTGGTCTATCCAATCACATACAAGGATCTTTTTTACAAGGCCCCGCCTTCTGAAATCCAACCACTACGGCTCAGTCCCAGACCCATGAGAGAAGCTCAGAGATCTACAAGGGTCTGGCCAGAGTCAGGCTCGTGTTGTTGTCTCCTGACACTTACCTCTGGTCCCACTTCTCCAGTGATGCCTCTGGTTCCTGGGGGCCCCATGGGTCCTGGAAGCCCGATGTTGCCTTCTTTTCCCGAGGGCCCGATGGGTCCTTGAGGGCCCTGGATCACATCAGCACAGACTCATGAATACAAAGGTTTTCCAAACACACACAGAGACTTTCTGCTTTATTCTTACCCTGGAACCACTGGGGCCAACGATGCCAGACGTCCCCTGCTCTCCAGTGGTGCCCTGAGAACACACACAGGGGCCTCAGAGACCAGAGAGAGACCAGAGAGAGACCAGAGAGAGACCAGAGAGAGACCAGAGACAGACCAGAGACAGACCAGAGAGAGACCAGAGAGAGACCAGAGAGAGACCAGAGAGAGACCAGAGAGAGACCAGAGAGAGACCAGAGAGAGACCAGAGAGAGACCAGAGAGAGACCAGAGAGAGACCAGAGAGAGACCAGAGAGAGACCAGAGAGAGACCAGAGAGAGACCAGAGAGAGGCCAGAGAGAGACCAGAGAAAAGAGACCAGAGAGAGACCGGAGAGAGACCGAGAGAGAGACCGGAGAGAGACCAGAGCGAGACCAGAGAGAGGCCAGAGAGAGACCAGAGAGAGACCAGAGAGAGACCGGAGAGAGACCAGAGAGAGGCCAGAGAGAGACCAGAGAGAGACCAGAGAGAGACCAGAGAGAGACCAGAGAGAGACCAGAGAGAGGCCAGAGAGAGACCAGAGAGAGACCAGAGAGAGACCAGAGAGAGACCAGAGAGAGACCAGAGAGAGACCGGAGAGAGACCGGAGAGAGACCAGAGAGAGACCAGAGAGAGACCAGAGAGAGACCAGAGAGAGACCAGAGCGAGACCAGAGAGAGAGACCAGAGAGAGACCAGAGAGAGACCAGAGAGAGACCAGAGAGAGCCAGAGAGAGACCAGAGAGAGACCAGAGAGAGACCAGAGAGAGACCAGAGAGAGACCAGAGAGAGACCAGAGAGAGACCAGAGAGAGACCAGAGAGAGACCGGAGAGAGACCAGAGAGAGACCAGAGAGAGACCAGAGAGAGAGACCAGATAGAGACCAGAGAGAGAACAGAGAGAGACCAGAGAGAGACCAGAGAGAGACCTGAGAGAGACCAGAGAGAGACCAGAGAGAGACCAGAGAGAGACCAGAGAGAGACCGGAGAGAGACCAGAGAGAGACCAGAGAGAGAACAGAGAGAGACCAGAGAGAGACCAGAGAGAGACCAGAGAGAGACCAGAGCGAGACCAGAGAGAGAGACCAGAGAGAGACCAGAGAGAGACCAGAGAGAGAGACCAGAGAGACCAGAGAGAGAACAGAGAGAGACCAGAGAGAGACCAGAGAGAGACCAGAGAGAGACCAGAGAGAGACCAGAGAGAGACCAGAGAAAAAGACCAGAGAGAGACCAGCAAGAGGCTAGAGAGAGAGAGTCCATAGATCCTGCCATAGTTCTGTTTCTGATACAAACATATTGAGTAGAGAACAGAGTAGAGTACAGAGTAGAGTACAGAGTAGAGTACAGAGTAGAGTACAGAGTAGAGTACAGAGTAGAGTACAGACTCACAGGAGGTCCGGGCAGACCCTGCAGACCCGTGAATCCTCTGTGTCCTTTCTGTCCCCTCTCGCCGTGGTCTCCCAGGTCTCCCTTATCTCCTCGGGGCCCTTGCGGTCCCTGGACACAGCACCATGTGAGTCACATGGTACACACACAAACCTGCTCAGGACGCTGCAGTCTGGGCTCTCACCACTAGGCCTCTCTTCCCCGCGGAGCCTGGAGGTCCCGCTGGCCCCCGGGAGCCCTGTCACAACAACACAACAGTCTCAGTACAGGCAAGGTCATTGATATAGCACAGTTCATACAGAGACCAGAGAGAGACCAGAGAGAGACCAGAGAGAGACCAGATAGAGGCCAGAGAGAGACCAGAGAGAGACCAGATAGAGACCAGAGAGAGAGACCAGAGAGAGACCAGATAGAGGCCAGAGAGAGACCAGAGAGAGACCAGAGAGAGACCAGATAGAGACCAGAGAGAGAGACCAGATAGAGGCCAGAGAGAGGCCAGAGAGAGACCAGAGAGAGACCAGAGAGAGACCAGATAGAGACCAGAGATTGACCAGATAGAGGCCAGAGAGAGACCAGATAGAGACCAGAGAGAGACCAGAGAGGGACCAGAGAGAGACCAGAGAGAGACCAGAGAGATAGCTCAGAGAGAGACCAGACAGAGAGAGACCAGAGTCTGCTTCAAACTGCACAGACCGAGTCTCCTCGTTTTCCGGCTGGTCCTGGAGATCCCACTGGTCCTGCGGGTCCTGGGAGTCCCTGAGGCCCGAGCAGACCCTCGGGGCCCCCGTCTCCTCTGTCGCCCTGAGAATCAGAGGAAGAAGTTTTACTTTAGCAGAGATGGAACAGAACCATCTGCAGCCGTGCGGAGCCTCACCCTCTGTCCCATCATTCCGTCCTTCCCTGGGGGCCCGTCGGAGCCAGCGGGGCCCTGAAACACACACACAGTTTGGACCAAAGCTCAGATAGAGAAGTGTGTGTTGGTGCTGGACTCACGTCGGGACCTGGGTCTCCTCGAGGGCCGTTTGCGCCCTGAGATCCTACTGGACCAGAGGGGCCCTTTTCTCCTGAGGGCCCGGAGGCTCCTGCTTTCCCTGGAGCCCCCTGAACACACACCAGTCAGTCAGATACATGTGTTTAATGTAAGATTATAACAGTAATAACAGAGAGTACCGCGGGGCCAGGCAGACCAGGCATGCCTCTCTCTCCTCTTTGTCCTGGGAGCCCCACTATCCCCCTTTGTCCTGTGGTCCCAGCGGGGCCTGGGGGCCCATCGGGGCCCTGAGACACACACACAGGTTAGAGACACACACTCACACACACACATGTATTAGGAGCCTCTCTCACTGTGGGTCCATCCTCTCCGGAGTCTCCCTTGTCCCCTGGGGTCCCTGGAGGTCCTGCGGGGCCCCTCTCTCCCTGTCGGCCCTGAGATCCATGGTCTCCGCGGAGACCGGCGGGACCCTCTTTACCAGGAGGTCCCAGGGGTCCAGCTTCTCCCAACGGGCCCTGAGAGCACAGGAGTCATGTGACCACAAACTCTATGACATCATAGATACAGTTTAACTGAGGGGGGCCTCACCGGGGGGCCGGGGGGGCCCACTCTGCCCGCGGGGCCAGGGTAACCGTTAGAGCCCTGCACACAAACACACCAGTCACGCCAGTGTTCATACAGCCCACATGGTCCTGTACTATAGTCCACATGGTCCTGTGTTATAGTCCACATGGTCCTGTGTTATAGTTCACATGGTCCTGTACTATAGTCCACATGGTCCTGTGTTATAGTTCACATGGTCCTGTATTATAGTTCACATGGTCCTGTATTATAGTCCACATGGTCCTGTGTTATAGTCCACATGGTCCTCACCGGGGGCCCCTGGGTTCCACGTCCTCCCTTCAGTCCAGCGACTCCCACAGGCCCCTGAGACACATCAGGTTCAGTTGATCTACTTTTTATTATTATTATTATTATTATTATTATTATTATTATTATTATCATTATTCTAAATCAAAGTGTTTCCAAAGTGTAAACAGAACATAATCAGAACAGAGGGCGACAGATAAACATGCATCATTTAGAGTCCATATGTATTTAACCATAAAGCTAACACTTCATTAGCAGTTCATTAGTGAGGCCAAGAACAACCCACAATGCACCAGCTGTGACCAGGTCACATGACACTGACCGGAGGCCCGTGAGCTCCAGCTTGTCCCTGAGGTCCTGGAGATCCTGCGTCTCCCTTCTGTCCGGGTTCTCCAGGCTCCCCCTTCACTCCGGGCTGACCGTCTGGGCCCTGGGCAGAGGTCAGAGGTCGTGAGCACATACAGTCGCGTTGCATATTTACATTCTCCCCGTAGCACCCTCGGTAACAAATATGCAACATAAAGTTCAAAGGTTTTATCAAAAAAAGTCTGACTTTTTGGCTCAATGCATTTACTAATGTATGAGCCCAGGGACCCATAGAAGCTAATATGCTACATGCTAATATGCTACATGCTAATATGCTACATGCTAATATGCTACATGCTAATATGCTACATGCTAATATGCTATATGCTAATATGCTACATGCTCATATGCTACATGCTCATATGCTACATGCTCATATACTACATGCTAATATGCTACATGCTAATATGCTACATGCTAATATGCTACATGCTAATATGCTATATGCTAATATGATACATGCTAATATGCTCATATGCTACATGCTCATATGCTACATGCTAATAGCTGATACGCTACATTGATGCTGCTTTCCAAAACGTTCAAATATTTTGTTTCAACAAATATTTGTTGTATCTTTGTTCTCACTGTATTACAAGTACATAAACATGTCAGAAGTATGTGGGTGCAAATTTATCATATATATATATATATATATATATATATATATATATATATATATATATATATATATATATATATATAATATAAAAACAATATATGTTACTCACAGGAGGTCCGGCAAATCCCACGGCTCCGATGGGACCTGGGTCTCCTCTCGCCCCCTGCAGGACAGAGACAGTATTACACACACAGACAGTACTACACACAGACAGTACTACACACACAGACAGTACTACACACACACACAGACAGTACACACACACACACACAGACAGTACTACACACACATACAGTACTACACACACACACAGACAGTACACACACACACACACACACACACAGACAGTACTACACACAGACAGTACTACACACAGACAGTACTACACACACACACAGACAGTACACACACACACACAGACAGTACACACACACACACAGACAGAACTACACACAGACAGTACTACACACACACATACAGTACTACACACACACACAGACAGTACTACACACAGACAGTACACACACACACACAGACAGTACACACGCACACACACACACACAGTACTACACACAGACAATACTACACACACACAGACAGTACTACACACAGACAGTACACACACACACACACACACACAGACAGTACTACACACAGACAGTACACACACACAGACAGTACTACACACAGACAGTACACACAGACAGTACACACACACACACAGACAGTACTATACACAGACAGTACTACACACACAGACAGCACTACACACAGACAGTACTACACACAGACAGTACTACACACACACAGACAGTACTACACACAGACAGTACTACACACACACAGACAGTACACACACACACACACACACAGACAGTACTACACAGAGACAGTACTACACACACACAGACAGTACACACACACACACACACACAGACAGTACACACACACACAGACAGTACACACACACACACACACACACACACAGGCAGTACACACACACACACACACACAGACAGTACACACACACACAGACAGACACACACACACACACACACACACACACACACACAACAGACAGTACACACACACACACACACAGACAGTACACACACACACACACACACACACACACAGACAGTACACACACACACAGACAGTACACACACACACACACACACACACACACAGACAGTACACACACACACACACAGACAGTACACACACACACAGACAGTACACACAGACAGTACACACACACACACACACAGACAGTACACACACACACACACACAGACAGTACACACACACACAGACAGTACACACAGACAGTACACACACACACACACACACACACACACACACACACAGACCTCGCTGCTGTCAGACACATCAGATACATAGGTTCATGTTCAGTGTTTCTGACAGAGATCCAGGCCAGTGTTGGTGAAGGTCGTGGCGTCCCCCAGGGGTCGATCCTTAGCCCTACACTGTTCATGTAACAGTACAGTAATAGTCTGGTATTCGTCCTCTGTGATGTCACATTGGTCCTGCCCAAACTACATCGACCTGAGCCTCTTTAGTAAAAGTAATCTGTTGGACTGAGTATGTTTTAGTTTGAAGACGATCAGCCCAAAAATACAACATTATTGTCACATTTAACAGACGTTTGTTGAATTGAACAAGATTTTCATGTTTGATGTAAAGTGATTGATTAATATTGATCACACACAGACATTCAGCTGTTTTGGACAAATCAACAAGAGACATTTACATTACATCATAAATAGTCAAAATGAATCAGTCTGAACATGGAGACACTGGTACCAGTCTGAACGTGACGACACTGGTACCAGTCTGAACGTGGCGACACTGGTACCAGTCTGAACGTGGCGACACTGGTACCAGTCTGAACGTGGCGACACTGGTACCAGTCTGAACGTGGCGACACTGGTACCAGTCTGAACATGGAGACACTGGTACCAGTCTGAACGTGACGACACTGGTACCAGTCTGAACGTGGAGACACTGGTACCAGTCTGAACGTGGAGACACTGGTACCAGTCTGAACGTGGCGACACTGGTACCAGTCTGAACGTGGAGACACTGGTACCAGTCTAAACGTGGAGACACTGGTACCAGTCTGAACGTGGCGACACTGGTACCAGTCTGAACATGGAGACACTGGTACCAGTCTGAACGTGGAGACACTGGTACCAGTCTGAACATGGAGACACTGGTGCCAGTCTGAACATGGAGACACTGGTACCAGTCTGAACGTGGCGACACTGGTACCAGTCTGAACGTGGAGACACTGGTACCAGTCTGAACGTGGCGACACTGGTACCAGTCTGAACGTGGAGACACTGGTACCAGTCTAAACGTGGAGACACTGGTACCAGTCTAAACGTGGAGACACTGGTACCAGTCTGAACGTGGCGACACTGGTACCAGTCTGAACGTGGCGACACTGGTACCAGTCTGAACGTGGAGACACTGGTACCAGTCTGAAGTGGAGACACTGGTACCAGTATGAACGTGGAGACACTGGTACCAGTCTAAACGTGGAGACACTGGTACCAGTCTAAACGTGGAGACACTGGTACCAGTCTGAACGTGGAGACACTGGTACCAGTCTGAACGTGGAGACACTGGTACCAGTCTGAACGTGGAGACACTGGTACCAGTCTGAACGTGGCGACACTGGTACCAGTCTGAACGTGGCGACACTGGTACCAGTCTAAACGTGGAGACACTGGTACCAGTCTAAACGTGGAGACACTGGTACCAGTCTGAACGTGGCGACACTGGTACCAGTCTGAACGTGGCGACACTGGTACCAGTCTGAACGTGGAGACACTGGTACCAGTCTGAAGTGGAGACACTGGTACCAGTATGAACGTGGAGACACTGGTACCAGTCTAAACGTGGAGACACTGGTACCAGTCTAAACGTGGAGACACTGGTACCAGTCTGAACGTGGAGACACTGGTACCAGTCTGAACGTGGAGACACTGGTACCAGTCTGAACGTGGAGACACTGGTACCAGTCTGAACGTGGCGACACTGGTACCAGTCTGAACGTGGCGACACTGGTACCAGTCTGAACGTGGAGACACTGGTACCAGTCTGAACGTAGAGACACTGGTACCAGTCTGAACGTGGCGACACTGGTACCAGTCTGAACGTGGCGACACTGGTACCAGTCTGAACGTGGCGACACTGGTACCAGTCTGAACGTGGAGACACTGGTACCAGTCTGAACGTGGCGACACTGGTACCAATCTGAACGTGGCGACACTGGTACCAGTCTGAACGTGGCGACACTGGTACCAGTCTAAACGTGGCGACACTGGTACCAGTCTGAACGTGGCGACACTGGTACCAGTCTGAACGTGGCGACACTGGTACCAGTCTGAAGTGGAGACACTGGTACCAGTCTGAAGTGGAGACACTGGTACCATCTGTTTGCTCTGAGGAGTGATTATTTGTCTGATCCTGGACCATGAGTCTGTGATGAAGTTTGATGATGATGATGATGTAAGTATTTTATTACCTTTACCTGCCAGTACCAGCAGCATTAGTTACCATAGCAACATCATGTTTACGTGCTACCAGTTGGCAATTTCTCATAAGTCCATTGGTTTGAATGAGAGCAGTCAAAATGACGGGTGTGGGAGTAGCTCCATACTCATGTGAGTCCTGGTTAGACCTCAGAGAGACTCACCGGGACACCCCTGGATCCTGGAGGTCCATGAGGTCCCTTTGGTCCTGGTTCTCCCTGAAAACACAGTCACAGTCTTAGATGCTTCGTTAAATGTTGGATTTGTAGACAGCGAGAGACCAGACCTTTTCTCCACTTGGTCCTGCAGGTCCCGCTGGTCCCACAGATCCTGGGGCCCCCTGTTTGAGAAGCACACAGTTAGCAGGAGGTCACAGTCTGAGGATGGAGCTCGGACGCTTCTTACTCTGGCTCCGTCGTTTCCTGGAGTTCCCTCTGATCCTTTCTCTCCGATCGCTCCCTGGACAAAGAAAAGTACGATATTCACACAAAAGAAAGTAAAGCAGTTACTTTAAAGACCTTATGCAGGGTTTTTTATTTAAATTGTGGCTATCAAAATTGCATGACAGTTAATCAATTATTGTCAATCTGAAATAGATTCTAGCAAAAAGAATCCTATATTTTATAAAAAGAATGTGTTTTTAATGAATTTAAGTTGTCTATGCTCTAGCCCGTGTGTGACGTCACAGCGGGTAACGCACTGAAATGATCAACGCCATGGATCTATGCCACAGATACTCCTGTCCTCTCTTCTCTCCACTGATGTCCGACACAACACTGCCCTCTACAGGTGTCGACAGCTCATTACACATATACTGCCGTTTGAGAGTGACAATGTGACTGAGGTGAGAATTGAACCCCAGTGCAAAGACACAACCACTGGACTATCTCAGGCCAATGAGGAGGTACACACTGCTAGTACTATCATATTCGCTGTACACGGCCTTGTCATCTTGAATATCCGCGGAAAAAGACCAAATACCAAATTGTAAACAACTGACAATTCTAGCAACCCATAGCAACTCTAAGGGCGTTGCTATGGGGTTATGTCAATTTGGGGGGATCAGACAAAAAAACTGATTTTGAAACCTTTAGTAGTTCTCTTCTAATATAAAATGGTATTAAAACTGTATTTCTAAATCCATCAAACCCTGCATAAGGTCTTTAAAGCTGGGGGACGTAACTTTCAGACCAAAACAATAGAACTCTGTGATACAATCCATGTTTCTAGTTCCTGGCATTTTGGCCTCTGTCATCTCTGGTCTCTCTCTGGTCTCTCTGGTCTCTCTTTGGTCTCTCTCTGGTCTCTCTCTGATCTCTCTCTGGTCTCTCTCTGGTCTCTCTCTGGTCTCTATCTGGTCTCTCTCTGGTCTCTCTCTGGTCTCTCTCTCTGGTCTCTCTCTGGTCTCTCTCTGCTCTCTCTCTCTGGTCTCTCTCTGGTCGCTCTCTGGTCCCTCTCTGGTCGCTCTCTGGTCTCTCTCTGGTCTCTCTCTGGTCTCTCTCTGGTCGCTCTCTGGTCGCTCTCTGGTCGCTCTCTGGTCGCTCTCTGGTCGCTCTCTGGTCTCTCTCTGGTCTCTCTCTGGTCTCTCTCTGGTCTCTCTCTGGTCTCTCTCTGGTCTCTCTCTGGTCTCTCTCTGGTCTCTCTCTGGTCTCTCTCTGGTCTCTCTCTGGTCTCTCTCTGGTCTCTCTCTGGTCTCTCTCTGGTCTCTCTCTGGTCTCTGTCTGGTCTCTCTCTGGTCTCTCTCTGGTCTCTCTCTGGTCTCTCTCTGGTCTCTCTCTGGTCTGTCTCTTACCGCCCTGATTTGAAGAATACCCCGGACTCACCCGGTCTCCCTTGGGTCCTGGAGGTCCAGAGATGCCCCTCTCTCCTGGCATCCCCTGTAGACCTGGAGGACCAGCATCTCCCACTGTGCCTGGGGGTCCGGGACTGCCCTGTGGACCAGAAGCAAGAATACCATATTGGAGAGAAATTACAGTCACTGGCTTTAAATAGAGTGCTCTACAATTCTAAACTTAAAGTGCTTAAACCACAAGAACAAATCATTCAAAGGTTGTAAATGTAAAAGTGCACTTTATTGTCCCCGTAGGGCACTTCACCCTCTGCATTTGACCCATCCTGATGCCCTCAGGCTTACGTCAGGAGCAGTGGTCGCCGTAGTAACAGCAAACCCATCTCCAGATGTTGATGCTCTTGGTCAGGACCAGAGCTGGAGGATTTAACCTAGTGTGCATGTTTTTAGTAGTAGGGGAAACTGGAGTACCCGGAGGAAACCTTCGCAGACACGGGGAGAACATGCAAACTCCACTCAGAAAGGCCCTGTTCTGAACCTTCTTGCTGAGAGGCGAGAGTGCTAACCACTCAGCCACGTGCCGAATCTCTCTGTGTAGCACAGAGAGATTCAGAAATATTGCTTCTCTCTGACGTCCGTACCTTGGGTCCGTCTGGTCCTGGTGCTCCGGGAATGCCCTTAGATCCCTGCAGTCCAGTGGATCCCAGCTCTCCTCTCTCCCCTGGGATCCCACGCTCTCCCTGTGGGCGAGTCTCAGTCACTCAACAATACAACAAATGCATAAACAGAGTTTTCAAAAATCTTCACTTTGACCAGAGTTTCTTATATATTGGTTTGTGCTGCGTTGTCCTGTGGCCAGCTGCAAACAAAGACAAATATCTGCAGCTTAGCAGAGGCCGGCTGTATTTACATGTATATGTACTTATGTTTATGT